AAAATACTGCTCTGCCAAGTACAGTAAGTGTGTTTTAAGTCTTTATCATTATATAAATCAAACTTTGTGCGTGGAACTCTCGGCTAAGTGCACTTTTCCGTTTACTTCTTTGTGCCCGTGAGTGATCGTTGAGGCGTTTTGTTGCAGACAGAGCGGTAGATTGGGTCGCTTCAGCGGCAGCAAACCAAGGCTAAGCGTCTAAGTCGGGGAAGTAAAGCAGGAGGAGATCGGAAAGGAGCTAAAAAAAAAACAAGACAAAAATTTTGAAATCTTTCATCTCACAGGCAAAAAAAAAGTCACATTACACCCCATAAAGCACACGGTTGAGACTGGAGACGAGATATAAGTGAATGTAGTCCAACTATGAACCGATATAAAAGCATTTTTCCTTTCAGTCGAGCGCAATTAAGCCACTTTTTGAACCTCCTGCTTTATTTGCAAACATATTTATGGTCTTAATGTTAATCAGGTCAGACAAAATGGCAAAATAAGATAATTTTCTGGAAATATAAGCGTGTTTTTCGTTACTTTGTGGCTCGGTCGACATTGTGGGAGATACTTGCATGCATTCATTTGCTCTGCATGTTGTCTCCTGTCACTTTGGACTCATTTTTCTCTGTAAAATAAAGTCCTGCACCTCTATGGAAACAGCACAACCCAAAAAAAGGTGAAGCCTCAACATGCTATAAATATTTTGCTACCTACGTGTTTAATCTGTTTCCATACTTACGCTCATATCTGCTCTGCGTAAACACAGCCTGCAGTTCAGCTGAAAAACTCTCCGATTTTTTGTTTCGGTACTGTTGGTAGCAGCTGAGTCACTAATGGCTTCTCAGGTTCGCCAGAGAGAGCAGAATTTTTTGTTTTTTACAGAATCGCTGAATTGTAAATGGTTTATTTTTGGCAATTTTTAAAATAGAGATTTAGAGGAAATGGATTTTGATTAAATTGAACTTCAGACAGTCAGAAAGGTGAAAATCTGACATTATTTCAGTTTTTTCACTTTGTCGCTCTAATGAATCGTGTATTTTAGGTGATTTTTAAACAATAGCACAGGATTAAATAGACCGTTAAAATCAAACTAAGCTTAAAAGTCCCTGAATTTTTATCGCGTGATTGTTAGTCACAGCTGAGCCACTAATGGCGTCTTCATTACACCCAAGTGCACAGAATATTTTGTTTTTTACAGAATCCTCTTTGCGCAAGAGGTTTCTTTTTTAGCGAGACATGTAGAAGAAAGTGAGTTTGATCAAATACTGCAATTTTAA